CCCATGCATTGAGATTGCAAAAAAATTTGGAAATGGCAAATAAAATAAGTAATGATTAACATAATATATTTAACTATTAAAAACTAATACTCAATATTTTACATTATAAATTAAATAGTTGACAACAGAGAGTAAATGTCTTATGATGACTTGCGAAATAATAGCATACATATTGTTTAGTCATTGTTTTAAAGTCTGTTTGCACATTGAAATATCTATAATCATCTATTATATAATTATATGACCATGTCCGACAAATTATACATTCGTGGTTCAAACATTTGTTGAAATATTTTTCATCAATAAGATGTAATTGGCACACAGATTTCGATTAATTAGTATAAATTATATCAATATGTACATATTGATAGTTAAATGTCAAAGAAAAATTAAAAAGATAGAGGACAAAAGTGGGATGTGTGTGTTCCACTGCCTCTGTAACCCAGCAAGAAATGACTCATCGAAATTATATCGAATCGATATCGAAAAATTCTTTCGAAAATTGATCGAAATATTCATCGATTTTGATGAATTTGTGATACTCAATTCGATGAATTTTTGACGCTCAGAACGATTCGATTTCAATGAATTTTCGATGTTCTAAACAATACAATAATACAATATTTTAACGAAAAATAATAATTTTTTTATGATTATTTGTTTTGTTTAATCAGCTGTCTTCGTTGTTTTACGTATAATGCATGTATTTTATTAATTACAATTCATTTTTGAGAACGCATTGCCGATGAGATTTGAACTTATGATCTCTAGAACTGTAGTCTAATACCCTAACGCTGAGCTAAGCAAACGTTTGCGATCAAGTCATCGCCAGCGCTATATCTTCTACAATAACTATTCTTAATTTCGTGCTTCTGCTGACAAATTAATATTATTAATATTTAAAGAGATTAGATGGAAATAAAATTACGTTAGTATTTGTTAATTAAGCTAGGGAATGGTAATGACAAAGCGATTTATTCGTCATTGACATCTATTTGTTTATAACTCAATATTATCAAAAGGAGTTCGGATGGAAACGATCAATTACACCAGAGATTCGCTCTTATTGCGAATTTATGATAGATTACGAAAATTCTATTGTAATTAAACTTTCTGTTAAATCATCTATTTCATCATCGATATCAATTCGAAATTATTTCGAGATTCACTTTTTATATACACATGACACTTGTAATCATTATATAAAATGAAATTTATGAATGAAAAATTATATTGTATTAGCAGCCACGGATAATGTAAAGACTTTATCATTTGAGCATAATTTTATATATTAATTTATATAGACATAATTTTATATATTAATAAATATAAGAATTTATATATACATGTCATAACAATAATTACTTTCTTACCTTAATTACTTTATATTTATTTTAATTACTTGTTAAATTCGATATTTGTATATAACACAAGAAATATTTAAAATAAAATTGTTATTATTATATATATATATTAAACTATTATATCTTATTAAAACAAAAAAGACTTCGTCTTAATAATAAAAGATAATAATTAATACACAATAATAACAATTTCATTTTAAAAAATTTTGTTTTCAGAGGTAATTGAAATAACTTCGAACCGTATTAAAATGATGAAATATCGATGTCCTAATAAATATTACACAATTTGCTTGTTTAAAAGTTTGGCGATGAATATATTCATCTTCCTGAACGATTATTATTTTTATAAAGCATAGACAGCGAAATGAGCTTCAAATTTCGAGCAATATTTCGATTCGAAATATGCAATTTCATTGACTTTGACATCAATTTGATGTCAATTCGATGAGTCATTTCTTGCTGGGTAAGGGTTAAACTATTTATTATTTTCGTCTATCACTTCCTCCAATTATTCATGTATTAAGAATGCATTATTCAGTTTGATTTCAAATGCATTATTCAGAATGATTACAAATGTGTTATTCAGTTTAATTTTAAATTTAAATTCACTTCTCAAATTTTTAATTGAAATTTTATTTATTTAGTTTCCAAAATTGTCAATCATACTACATTCAATACTTTATAAATAATCTATATTTATAAAATATATTTATAAAACGTTATAAATGTAAAATAAAGTATATTCCCAAACAACACAAAGTCTAAAATTATGACATAAGACGTCTAAGTCATCTTTTAGATGCAAAAAACGTCTTATCACCTCATTTTACACTTTTTGTTATCTGGGTTGTATTTACATTACAGTTCTATTATTGGAAAAAGTGCATATAATTACATACACGCACGCGTGTTTTCTTTTTCAATCTTAAACTGCAAAATTGTTGTCATTTCCGCATTAGAAATAAAATTGCGATATCATGAGCCATGGAGTGCCATGAATCATTGATTGTTTAGGATAAAATGTTCAGATTGATACACAACCGATTCATTTATATAATTGTATTTTCAGGGTTGGGTAATCATTTAAAATGCGAAATATAAAATACTTAAAAAATGTATTTAAAATGCAAAATGTTTTTCGAATCCACTTTATATGTAAAATGGGTAAATAGATATTTTAAATAGTTTTCAAATACAGAATGGTTTTTTTCCTTACATATATTTTAATATACATTTTTTTAAGTATTTTACATTTAGCATTTTAAATAGAATTACATTTTAAATGGCATTTCTAATGCAAAAATACCCAGCATGTACTTTGTTGTCCATATTTTATATCTAGATGATAGTGATCAAGCATCGTTATCTCGCATGTGCCATTAACGGTTTTTGTAATGCAAAAGTAATTTAATAATTTAAAAATATTTTAATATTGATTTTGTAATACAAGATACGTATTGAAAGTTAGACGCGAATTTCTATCCATTTTACTGCACTACGAGTAATTATTTATCATTTACTTTTTTTATTTCCCCGTATATAGTACTTTCTATGTCAAGTGTAACCATGGTTTACACATTAAATATATATATTCATAATGAAATGGGACAATATAAAATAGTATATGTGTTAAAATGTAAAAATGATTGACTTAAACAATTAATTTTATTTTAGCTTTATAAGTTTTGTATTTTATCTGTTCATAGTCAATATAATTTTATTTATAGATATGGATAAATACATTTTTTGAACACTTCAACAACTAAGTAAGTAATAAAAAGAAATCAAATATGTCATGCTTTTTTAAATTTTAAATAATGTAGATATAATCCAACTATTTTTCTCTATTTACGTTGCGCTTTCAATATTTGAATTTTGAATTCTATATGCATTTGACATTATAAACAGATTAGACTTCCTACACACATTACATTTTTTCGAAAAATTTAACAGAATATAACATAAGAATATCTTTCAATTTTATCTTATACATTCTTAAGATGGATAAATAATTTTTCATTCAAATGTTAGAGAGCGATTTTTATTAATGTGTTACTTTTGGAAAAATTGTTATAAATTATATATATATATATATATATCTCTCTTTTTGTAGTATAGAAATTAAAGCGGTTTACATGTATATGATCAGATTTCTTTCAATGGGTGCATTCAGTACTATGATCGCTTACTGAGCGCTCAGTGAGCTCTTGTATCCGTTTGGTCTATATTTTTAGATTCATTTAAAATGAATTTAGAATAGTTCAACATCTTAACGTTCAGACCGTTAGTGGCGTTTCTTAGTTTAAAGTATTGTAGTTGACATAAGCGGTCTTTCTATCTTATTATATTATTGTCTATATATTTTTAGATTTAACGAAATATGCCAATCAAATGCAAGAGCTCATTGAACGCTCAGTGAGTGGTTGTAATACTGAATACACCCATTGAAAGAAGTTTAATCATATACATGTAACCCGCTTTAATTTTTATACTACAAAAAGAGATATATATATAATAATATATATAACAATTTTTCCAAAAGTAACACATTAATAAAAATCGCTCTCTAACATTTGAATGAAAAATTACTTATCCATCTTATTTATGGTTATTTAATATACAAGATGTCCTAAGCTTTTTGACGCAAACCGCCTGTGAGCAGGTAGACCAGACTAAACTGAATCAAAAAGTCCTGTATCATTTTACAATTTTTGCAATAGTTAACGAGATATTAATTTTCAAAGATTGCCGAATAAACAAGTAAAATTTATGTATAAGACAATTTTAAGATATCTTTTAGAACTTTTTGTAAAATATCTTAAAAATGTTTTTAAAGAATTCATTTTATATATTTTGTTCATTGGGTAATAAAAATTGCAAAAATTGCAAAATGGTAGAGGACTTTTCGACTCAGTTTATTCGAACTCTATCTGGCCACAAGAAAAAAGTTCAGAACATCTTGTATATAGTGGTAACCGTAATATATATACAATAATAATCCTAATATCTGGTAATAAATCATAATATCTCGTCATAAACTGTAGCACCTGTCGTGGTGAAGCGATCGAGCTAAATAGAAAATGCTTCACTTTCTTATTGTAATCTTTTTAGTAATTAGTAATTAAAAAAAAATTATTTAATAGAAATCTGCGATTAAACAAACACTGTAAAAAATAGCGGTGTGAACTTAATATCATGCGGTGGTTTATTATTCAATCATAATAACAGTTTCAAACCGATCAGATGTTTCGATTCCTATCGGGTCATTATCAATGATAAATGATTTAAAAAAATTTTTTAAACGACAGTTTCAAGAGTACTTTAATGTTGCGAAGAAAAAAATTTTTTGTTTAACAATTGTTTAACAAACAATTTGAAATTGAAAACACAATTTAATAATTTTTGATGTAATAAGCATCTTTATAAGAATAATTTGAAGTTAATAAGAATCTTAAATATGCGAATAATTTATTGCGAAAAATATTACTTCAACCGGAATACAAACCCGGATTTTCTGTATTCTGTGCATCGTATGGAAGTCGAAAATTTGATTGGCACACGGCTATAAAATGATTAAAATTTAAATTAAACGATTAGAATTCAATTGTTCGTCGATAAATAGCCCATTTATTCGAACTCTAGGTAATCTAGATAACCTATCTCTTCCTGTAGACATAACAAAAGTGGTAACGATTCCAAGTGTTTCAATATCTTCATTTGACATTGCTAAGTTTTGATTAATATTACTGCTTTAAAAATAATAAAATGACAGTTGATTCATCTAAAATGATTCCTGCATTTTACGCAGGACAAAGTATATTTTTAACGGGTGCAACAGGATTTCTGGGAAAAATGTTAATTGAAAAAATATTACGATCTTGTCCAGATGTTCGTGAAATATTTCTGTTGATACGTCCCAAAAAAGGATTAAGTGTTAATGAAAGACTCGAGAAATTATTAAATTTACCGGTAAGTGTTGTTAAATATACAAAGAGAAACTTTTTATAACAATACATTTTTTTTAATTTTAAGATCTTTATAATAGTATTACATTTAAATGTTTGCGGTAAAAAATATTTTGCAAATGTTATTGTAATTTTATTAGTAAGGAATTATTTTTAACATTAAGATTTTGTAAATAGTATATAATAAAAGATTTTGTAATGCATTTAAAGCAGAGTATGTTGATGCAAATGCTATTAAATATGCTATTTTTTTATTACAAATTTATTACAAAAGGCTTCAAATCTTTTATTATAAGAAAGATTTTTTTGTAAATTATAATATTCTTTTATTTTAGTTATATGACAAATTGCGTGAAGAGCATTTTTCGAGTTTTGAGAAAATAGTTCCAATTTTTGGCGATACCAGTGAGAAAGAATTAGGTTTATCGATTACAGACAGACAAATGCTGATTGAAAGAGTGACTATAATAATTCATGCAGCGGCAAGTGTGAGATTTAATAATAGTTTAAAATATGCCATTTGTGCTAATACCAGAGCAACAAGAGACATCTGTATTTTAGCTCAGAATATGAAGAATTTAAAAGTAAGTTAGAAAGAATCTCTGAAATAGTATATTTAAATAATTCATTCTATTACTTATTGTTAGTCCATTTTATATAATAATTGATATTTCAAGTTTTTTTAAATACATGTTATAATATAAATTTCAAGCTTAATAACAATTGCAATGTAATAAAAATACTTGCATGATCGAAATAATGTTCTACAGTTGATAATATAAATTAAATTAATTATTACTTTGTAATTATTACTAATTAAAACTTTCTTAAATTTTTATCTTGAAGATGATATATATATTTTAGAAAAATATTTTTAAAAATATAATTAATTGCTCTTAATTGTTAAAGGCATTAGTGTACGTTAGTACAGCATTTGCACATGTGAATGAACCATTCGTAGATGAAAAAGTGTACCCGCCAATAGCTGATTGGCAAAAGATAATTGAAATAATCGAGACATTGGATGAACATACTTTAGACATTTTTTCGGCTAAGTAAGTTACAAACGAAAATCGATTATGCATTTATACGTTATATATTGATGTACTAGAATCTTTCGCTTTATTTATATAATTTTAATCATATTCAAATTTTTAAATCTATATGCACTTAAAATTATGTACAGGTGTTTAGATTATGCACCCAACACATATATTTTTTCGAAGAACCTAGCGGAGAGTGTAGTACAGGAATATTCTTCCTTCTTGCCTTGTGCGATTGTGAGACCATCTATTGGTACGTAGTTTTTTTTAATTATTGGAAATAAATATTTATTTCAATATTATTATACGAACACCTGATATGTTTATATTTCTTATCTTATTTTATGTTATTTTTAAATAAAGTACTTATACTAAGAGTACACTGAAAAAAAAAGATTGGCTGCTGCAAATTAGATGGTAAAATATGGCATAGCATTTTTAATTGGCTG